GGAGGAAAGCCATGAAAGAGGCTCTCACAAGGTTCTGTGGAGTGCTCCGAGCACCCTGGCCACTCCGGGGACACTCTGCGTGACTCAGATCTGGGTGCAATCGAAAATAGCCAGGCCAAAATATTTTTTTTAAAAAAAAAATATTGGCTAAGGTACAAGGGATATTTGCTTGATGTCAGTGTCTGAATGGTTAAAGTACAAAGACTATCAAGACAAACAGAACAGCCCAAATCAATTGTCATGTTTGCTGTGTTCTATGACTCTAGAAAGTATGTGTATGATGTGTGTATCCCTGAGTTAATCAAATACTGTGGTTCGTGGCACTCCTCAAAACACATGCTCAAGACAGCAGGAGACTCATGCTACACCACGCCCGAGTCCTTGTTTATAGGTATCAGTCAGTACTGAAAACAAACAAGTGGATTTACAACCTGAACCCCCAGATCCTTCAAAGATTCTGTCTCTAAATAAGGCAAATGAACTTCTAATTGTTCGCATTTGCTTCCACCAATCTTCTCAAGTCGCTGCTTTAAGAAAGGCCTAAATTCTGTTGACTCCTCATGTCCAAACCAAACAGAGCTGCCTTTCCCCTTGGCTTCCTCTGTGAGCACATGCCAGCATGACTGCACATTCGCCCAGAGTTTATTTCAGTGTTAGTGGGAAACAAGCCATTTTTCAGTTTAATGAATAGCATCAGTGTCTGCCTTTTAACCAAAAATGTGACCTTAAATTTGATGGATCTCACCAGAAGGCACATTTTCAAATTATTTTTCTATTGGAGGTTTATGAATATCACTCCTCAAATTATTGTGACAGCTGTGGGGTAGGGGCTGCATGGCAGACCAAGCAGCTCAGAGGCAGAACTCAGAGCTCATGGAGTGGGGCAGGCACTTCTGAAATAAGGCGCAGGAAAGACGGCAAGAACCATGCCAGAGGAGGAAAACAAAGCACAACTCTCTTGAGCCCGGAGCACCGGGGGACAAGTCCTGCACGGCAGCTGAAATTTTGGCTTCTCTGCTACCACCATTTTTGTTTCCAGATCATTCTAAATTGGGGCAGAGAAGGCTGAGCACTTACAGATTCTCCAGAAGGACATCTGATATATTTTCCTGATTAAAGATGACAGAGTATAATTGATGGTGCCGGTGCCTTGCCAGTTCCAACTTCTCTTTCTTTCTTTTTTTGAGAATACTGTTTAATGTGCAGACATTATTTTTGGACTACTGAACGCCAGAAAATAATGAGCTGGCATTCAGCTTTGGTGAATAAGACTCTGAATTTTCATCTAAAAGCAGTTTTGAGTTATGGCTGCAGATAAGGTGTAACTGTGCACGGGAATTTTACCCATGTTTCTCCCATGAATCATGAATGAGGGAAAAAATTACAGTCTAAATTGCACTTAAAAGGAATAAAGTCTTTTCATGTCATACATGATTTATCAAAATGATCTCATTTTAAGGGGACTGTGGTGTATCTTGATTAATCGCATTAGGACGCGTGATGAATGGCCTCTTTAATGGTAACACGGGATTTATTGGCAGCATCCTGACTAGAACCAGAAGGGTAAGAAGTAAAATATACAATAGATAGCTAATGCAGATAGGGCATCAGTGCTGCCCTGACTTGTTTTAAAATTATACCCGGAGCCCGGAGCCTCGTTGTCAGGACATTGTGAAACCTGGCAGAGGAGGGAAAGCATGCCTTGCCCAGAAACTGGGGTAGCACAGTGAAGCCAGTCTCTAACTTGTTGCATGATATCTACAAGTCCCTTGGCTTGACCATAACCAAGGTTCTGTCTGTGTAAATGGGTTAAACTTTGCACATTCCCAACAAACAGGGAGACACTGTCTTTGGGGACCAGTGTTCTTTGCACTATTTCAATATCCTCTTTACGTTTTACTTTAATATCCTAAATGCCCTAAGAAAAAGAAAAGAAAAAGAAAGAAAAAAAGGCAGTTCCTACTAATTTCCTCCAAGGCCGACAGATCAGAGGCTTGCCTCGAAGTGTTCCTTTAGTGCCCGGGAGACCCCCTCATAATCCTGCTGCTTGTCTGCAATTAATCCTCTGAGCTGCGACATTATTACTCCCACCACCCACAGACAGAGGAAGCTCTGACCCACTGGACTCTAGCTCCTGAGGAGGGAGGCTTCAAAGGTGCCAATCACACCGGCCTCCCAAAGGTGCCTGCTGTCAGCCTCAGAGGTCCCATCCTCCCCACTGATCAAACATTCTTCCTCAGGAGATTAATTCAGAGTCCCCGCCCACTTCCTCCCAGATCCTCTTCTGCTTTTCAGTTTACCCAATGATCCATCCTGGCCTCCAAAAGAGAAGCCATGGATAATAGAAGTTCTTTCAAAACAAAAGCTGGGCAGAGGCAAACTTAAATCCCAGCTGTTATCAACTTTAAAAAAAAAACACATTTAAACACCTTAAGGCAGGGAGGATTAGGCCTGGCCTGAAAGGCCATTCTTTGATCAAAGACCCCGAGACTTTACACAAACATAATCACAAGGCAATGGAGGGCGCTCTGAAGGTGGGATTGATTTGTTTGACTGCCAGTTGGGGACAGTATTGAAGCCCCCCACACACTGTGCTCTTCAGTCCCGTGTGCATCACCAGACCCAGTGACTTAGAAATTATAGGTTTTTCCTTCCTATGTCTCAATTGAAGCAATGGCTTGCCGGTTCAGACACATCTGTGGGGAGATGGTGTGGGAAAAGGGGAACATAGGAAGACATGCTTGTCTGGCTGTTTCTGATACACCTCAGAGAAGGTGGAGAAAGAAGAAAATCACCCTTGCCCCTGGGGTGAAGCAAAGGTACCATCTCCAGTGACTTAGGAGTGAGTCCTTTCCATATATGGAAGAAGTCTTGGGAGGAGACAAGCAGGGCCTCTACAGGCCAGACAACTGCCCATTCCTTCCTATCTGTCAGGACCAGAGGGCTGAAATAATTAACATGAAGGAAGAAAGATTTCCTGCAAACCGGCATTCATATCCAGAAGCATGTCTTTAAAGTAAGGGAGTGAATGCACAGGGCTTTGTTTGTAAGGTGGTGGTGGGGTGAGTATAGCTTTTTCGGATTGTAGAAATAGAAGTTACACACACCTAAGAACTGTTGATGACTATGATGCCATGGGAACCATTTACCGTATATCCAGAGTGAGTTAGAGAGGCTCCTTGGCCAACAATACTGGGGGAAAGATTACTGTTTGAACCATGTTGAGTGAAATCCAATTCAACGTGCATCGAGAAAATAAGTTTCCAACAAAATTTGGGAATACATGGTCTGTCTGAGTTGCATGCCCATCAATGAGAGACAAAGTTCTGCTCCAGTGAGAGCCAATCACATAACTGCACCTAGCTGGAAGTCGTTACTGCCCTGCCCCAGGATACAGGTGATTAGGGGAGGATGAGACAGAGGTTCCCTAGAGGCACATCTAACCATTAAGAATCTAGAGTAATCAACTCCACAGGCCAGAAGAACGAATTCCCCTTCGATAGCAGACAGTCTTTTACATAAGGCTTACATCCCTCCCTGCATCCCAGACAATGAAAGCATCTTATTGTCATGTGTGGACCACAGGGAATCCGTTGTGCAATAGGCCAGTCTTCAGTCTTCCATATCCAGAAAATGCTTCCCCACGGCTCTTGCACAATTTTATACTTCCCAGGCTCTCAGTCACAAACAGCTTTAGCATATAATTCTTCTTTAATAAGCTTGGGGAGCTCACAGAAGATTTAAAATTGAAATAGTCATTTAAAGGGGACAGCAAGAGGGAAGGGAGGTAGAGGAGCTGCTTAGCTCATGGAACAACACGAGAAAGAGGCCAAATAGGCTAAGAACTGAATCTACTCCTACACACACACACACACACACACACACACACACTTCAGTTCAGCTTATTTTATGTAAGTCGGGAATTATATGCGAAGTTTAATCACTAATTGGCAAGCATTGGGTACCTCCCACCATCCATCCCTGGAACGATACAGCGTTGTCATTCTGTCCACACAGGGAACAGATAACACAGCAGGAAAATACATGACAGTGTAATGGAATAGTTCAGAAAACTCTCTTGGGAAAAAAAATTCCCTTACATAAACTTCTAATGTCCAGGGAAATGATTTCTACAGTATTTTCTTCTTAGAGGCATGTCTCTGTCATTCTGCCACCCAGACACACCCTCTTCTACCTCTCCAGCCTCTCCCACAGAGATACTTCCACTGATAGAACCCAAAACCCACGGCCGTGAACTGAAGTCCTAGCGGACGAGGACCATAGGACCAGAAGAATTTAGAGATTCCCAGATGATCTTGGCATGTGTGAGAGAGGAGCTGAAGCTGGGATGACAGTAGATGCTGGGCCACTTTAAAAACATGGCCTGGATATCCCACTAAAGACTCAAAGGAAACAGACAAGCTTTTCTGTTTAGGAACTCAGCACCGTCTACAGTGGCAGCCCAGCGTGGACCATACCCAAATGTTTGATTAGGCTACTAAACTCCTCCTATGCTAGAGCTATCCACATGGCCTGTCCATCCACATGACGACAGCTAAACTCTGATGCAGCAGCACGCAATGTGGACATTCATGTCTGGAACTTTCAAAGGACCACAGAATACAAGGGTGTATGTACAAGTGTTGCTTGCAGGGGAAAGACAGAGATGCAGGGATCTGACTTCAAGCACAGCCACACTTTCTAAGGGTAAAATTAATCCCTAACTTGTGAACTTCTCTAGATAAGGATTCCACTCTTTTAGATAAAGACTCTATAACATCAAACATTAACTTTTACACCAATGCCTTTTTAGTACACGATCTTGTTCTTCCAGTGGACCAGAATCAAGAAAATGATAGAAAATAGTTCCATAGAAGAAGAGTTGGCTGAAAACAGCCTTCAAAATATGCTTTTCTAGTGTTTTTCTCTAAATGATCTGATAGTTGGTCATAAACACACAGAGAAAAAGTGGAGAGAGGCGGTCTTGATCTCTTCCATACCATCAGTAGCTGTTGACTCCCGGACTTCCACTTATCTGAACATATATGTGTGAAGCTGCTTCCTTGAGATAGACCAGATCTAAGAAGCGGAATCCAGCTTGGGAAAGGACCAAGTCTCAGCATGATTAGTCGGCTGAGCAGCAACCATTCTTCCTGTAGCCAAAGAAAATGTAACGGGCTTTCAAAACCATATTTCCTAAAGAAACACCACCATGTACCTCTCAAGTCTTCAGATCTGTAACACACCCTGGTCTGGTGGGACAGCAGGAGGCTGAGAGGCTCTGCTTGTGTGCAGTCCCATTCTAGGATGTGTGTGGTGCTGAAGGGAGACCCGATGCCAAGCACGGATGAAAGAAAAGGATGCAGAAGGAAGGAAGGAAGGAAGGAAGGAAGGAAGGAAGGAAGGAAGGAAGGAAGGAAGGAAGGAAAACGAGAAGAGGAGCTGTGAGGTTTGGAAATGATTTTTTTCCAGTCATTTTTCAATTCATAAAAACTATTCTTAAATACTTTTCCTGACCTGATCCTACGGTCTCGACTGCATTTTGCCCCAGCTGCAAGACAGAGAGGGCCGCAGGCGCTTTCCCTTTCATCCACTCTCAGGATGCCTGGGTTTGCGAAGGCAGACAAAGGCCACAGAAACCCAAGTCAGCGAGCTCTTGGGTGTAGCCTGCAGCTGCACCGTCTGTTGTCCAGAGAGGCTAACGGCGCAGTGGCAGAAAGCAGAAGGGTGTAGAGCCTGTGTGGTGGTAGCGAACCAAGAGGAAAAGGATACTGAAACCATTATGTCGGGACTATGGGTCCTGGCTTGGTCCTCAGGAAACTAATTCCTCTGTATTTTCTACACAGTCCTCTCTTCCACACTTGCCGTCCTTCACCAAGAACGGCTGCCGCTCCGCTAACGGAGTGACTTTGTGCCGAGAGAACTTGGTCTGGGGCTTAAGTTCAGCTGGCAGAGAACTTGCCTGGCATGCATGAGGCCTGGCGTTCAACCTCCAGCACTAGAAGAACCTGATATGGTGATACATGCCCATCCTTCCAGCACCTGAGGGGTGGTTACAGGGGGTCAGAAATTCAAAATCATCATGGCTACATGACAAGTTTGAGAGCAGCCTAGGACACAAGAAATTCTGCCCCCAAACCAAATAAACAGACAAATAATCAAGAGGAGTGAATTCTTGGCCTACCCCTTAAACGTCCTGGCTGAAGCGATAATCCTTAGAATGTTCCTTTAAAACAGAAATCTGACAACATTGCTTTTCTGCTTCAAGCAGGATGTAATGCTTGGCCTGAGTTTCAAGCTTTGATCGAGGCCTCAGGCCACAGCCTCTCCTTCAGGCCTGTCTCTTGCCTTGTTCCCCTTCCTTGGCAAGCCAGAACCTGTCTGGTGGCCTTCCTGGACCTCAGGTGCTCAGTCTTCCGACTCAAGAGATCTTCACAGTACAATCTTTCTCCCTGACTCTTTCTCTCCAGCTTGCTGACTTAGTGATGGTCCTCCATTAAACAGCAAATTCTTCACACCTTGAGTCCCCCAGTTTTGAAAAATGGACTCATAGTAATTTCTCAATAAGTCCTTGTCAAATGGTAAAATAAATTTATTTACTGCTAAACAGACACCATTATTCAGTCTCCAAGGAGTCAGAGTGCACAGCATTGGTATCAGGCCTCCCAGTTACTGTCCTCCACACTGTTTTCCGAAGGAAACACCCCCTTTAGGACCCCAGACGCTCACAGAACAGCACACACAGGTGCTACACCCACAGTTCCTCACGTGCAGGCTTTTCTCAAGTAGAGCCCTGCTGATTCTTGCTGGACGCAAGGGCTTAAGTTACAGCACACGCTTTGCCACAAGGAGTCATCCAGAGGTTGTTTAGAACAAAAGGAAACGTCCTCCTGGGGTTCAGGCTGATCCACAAGTGGCTCTTGGAAGAGCTTGTGGCTTCCAAGATGCATTAAGAGGTATCAGGCTGGACTTGGGGTTCCTACAGTAGGAAACTGAGCCCCCCATGGGAAGCGAGGCAGTATAAAATCTGTTTAATTGGGCCTGCCTTTTGCTACATTCTTCTCTTGCTCCTACAACCTGTGATTTTTGATGAATGCATCATAAAAAGTTTAATTTAAATGAAGACTAAAGGAGTGCGGGAAATCATCCTTTAGTCATTGCCCTGATCCTTCAAAGACAGGAGAAGAGGTCGTAGGACTGTCATTATGGATGAAACCTGGTTGCGATGCAGCCCGAGTGTCGCTCGGCTCAGTCAGCAGAAGGGGGAGCTGTAGTGTAACCTATTTGGGATGTAAATCTAGAGCTGGCGGTGCAGCAGATTAGAGTCTGTGTGACAGCTGCTGCCAGGCCAGTCTTCAGCAATTCTAAATGTCCGGTCCCTGTAAGAGCAGGTCATTAACAGAACTCAGAATGGTGTCTCTAAATGTGAACATTAAGAAACCCAGATCAGAAAAGGAAGGAAAAGGTGGAACTCCACCCCAATGGGAATCAACCCCTTGTGAAGGGAAGATGTATTTCTACAGAAGCACTGGAGTCTAATACAATGACAGTATTAGCTTCTAGTGACAACAACATAACAGAGATGAGCCGCTTACAAAAGTGATAGAAGGGATGTCTTGACATGGAAGAAATGAGGGATGGAAAAGGGAAAATGGGGAGACAGAGAAAGGGAAACAGGAGGAATGAGGAAGAAGGAAAGGAAGGAAGCAGGACAGAGGGCAGGAAAAAGAAATAGGGGGAGCGAGAGGATGGAGGGAAGGAATAGGGTTCAGGCCTACTGTGCATGCCTGGGTACAACAAGGAAGATCCCACAAACACACAGTGCACACAGCTGGATGGACACGACTCCTCTCCTGGATTGAACCTACACAGCAAGAGGACAAAAGACGCACAACAGAGCAGCCCCTGACTTCCCAGACTCGAGCCAGCGGGTGCCCACGTTTTAGTTTTTGACCAAGTCAGGTGTCCATGCTGCCAAAGGAGTTTTCCTTTTTCCCTGACTCCAGCCAACTCCTGTTTCCTTCAACTGGAACGCTGGAACTCTCCAAGACTCATCACAACTACAATTTAATTACTTCTCTGAGAGAGAGAGAGAGAGAGAGAGAGAGAGAGAGAGAGAGAGAGAGAGGAGTGTAAACAAGACTTCTTTTTATCTCGCGATACATCTGGACAAGTAGACAATGTGCTAAAACAAAATAAATCTGCCCTGACAGACACATCAAAGGGGCTCACAGCTACTTACAGCACAGGAATGCAGTTGCTAAGCATCGGCCAACGACTTATCAGTCCTTGGAAGAAATGCTTTTTTCTCCCTTTGAGGGGGGGTGATCAGGAAAGTTATAGAGTGGGAACCAGCCTGCAAAAGGAGACTGAGGATTTTCAGGGATTTTGAAGCTTAAAATGAATTATGTGGAGAAAAGGAGTTTGGTGGTGGGTTTCCTTTTGACATACTACCTGTATTTTTTATAAAGATAGCCCATGGAAAAACCTTCTAGAAAAAGCTCTTTAGGACTTTAAGAGGAAGAAGATAGGGAAAAACACCTGTATATAAAGTTTTATGGATGTCTCCAGATAACTCAAGCCTGATGCTAGGAAGTCCGGGATTGGGGGCAATACCCCACCCACCAGGGGCAGGAGGGATAAATTCTTAGATGGTCATAACAAAAAATAAATCATCCAACATCATAAGCGACACACATTTTTTCTAGAAAGTATGAAATGGAGCATCTACTCTTGCAAATACAATAAAATTGTGAAAATGGAACTCTCTTGAGGCCCCCAAAGAAAGCAAGTATGAGGTTGGACGAGGGAAGAAACCCCGGGAGCTAACTGCTTACTGTGCAAGCATGAGGACCTGGGTTTGGATCCACAGCACAGCCCCTAGCGGCGAGCTAGCATAGCAAGCACACCTCTCTAACTCCAGAACTGGGCTGGAGAGGGAGGTAGGATGGTCCCTGGAAGTCTCTGGTCCTCCAGGCTAGCTGGATAAGTGAGCTTCAGGTTCAGTGAGAGAGCCTGTCTCAAAAGAACAACGTGGAACACTGTAGAAGACAGCTAATATTGACCTCTGGCCTCCGCATGCACTCTTGCCTGCCTGAGCATGCACACATGGACACACCCTCGCACAGGCATGCACGTATACTTGCACACACACACACATACCCAAAAAGGTGACCAAGTGTGAGCTGCCATGTGGAGTACATGCAATGCATTAAATCTAGTTGTTGACCCCAATTGCATACAGCCCTGCAACTAGAGCATGCACTTCAGAAACCAAATGGAACCCACTCTGAAATCCAGTGACACCTTCAATCCCCCCGCCCCACCCACCTCTGAAGAGACCAAAACTGGTGTAGTGTACCTCATCTCATGGTATTGGACCCATGAAGGAGATTTTGCTCTTCCAATGAACACATCCTTGGGTGGGAAACGACTATCATCCTTCCCCCGCTCCCCCGTCAGCCTGGTAACAGGATTTGTTTGTGCTGGGAAATCTGTACTGGACGTGAACTTGTATAGCTGAAAAAGACGTCCCATGGAATCCTGAGGTGCTCTTGGACAAAACCAGCCAGTTCAAACTCAGCCACCACCTCTCACCAGACACCCAACAACTGCATAGAGCTTCCATCCTGGCCAGAGAGGGCCTGAAGGTATACAGACACTGGATATGCTGGCCCTAGGGAGGCCCTGGTCATTTTTAGTAAAGAACATGCTCTTTTCTTCCTTTGGATAAAAGGAAACAAATTCTGCATGATATCCCAACATGAACAATTACTAAGCGTGCGCTATTGCACAAATAAATAACACCTACCATTATCTCCAGTGCGATCCTATTTAGTAAGCAGTGACGGAAGGCAGCAGTAACCATTTTTATTGTCCCATATAGCTCCTATTTTCTAATTAAACAAAAGGTTATTTCTACTGTTAACAGAGTCATTTGTCTAAGCTGGGTCTTACCTAACACTTTTTGCCAAGCATGACAGAATCTAAGAAATTAGGCTCTGCCGTGGTTGGGTGTTCGCTCTCTGTTATCTTTCTTTCTTTTTTCTTTTTTTAATCTTTTGCATGCTGAGTTGGTACCTAGAAAGCTCTGTGGTTCCTAATCGGAGTGAAAGACCACTGTGTAGCAAATTCATAAATAAACTTCAGTGAG